TTCATACATTAAAAAACTTGCGCATGTTATACTGCAGTTTTGAAAAAGCAAAAAAAAAAAAGACAACAACAACAACAACTGTCCAGTCAAATTAAAACAATTAAAGCATTAACAAGTGTACTTCATTATTTTTTTAAAACAAAGTATAACTTGTAGATTTGGCTGCAAAACAGAAAGGTTGTTAAAAAAAAAAACAAAATTTTTCTTTCAGTTTTTTTTCTAGACCCTTTACTTGACATCACTGTCATTGTCATCATCATCACGGTCGTCATCATTATTACCACTAAACAGAAAAGAAAACAGCATTGTCAGTACTGTTGTCATCAACCGGGGCAGTTATGGTAGCAGTAAGAGCAACAACAACATCATCATCATCGTCATCGTCATCATTACCATCATTAAAATTATCAGAACTACTTAAGTTGTTCAAAAAAAAAGCAGAGCAAAAAATGTTTAATAACTGAAAACATTAAAAGGAAAACAAAAAAAAAAAAACAGCAGAAAAAAAAATTTTAAAAGAACGAAAATGATGTGATTTGTTTGGCTCATTGTTCCACAACACAAATATACACCAAATACAAAAAGACATTAAAAAATTAGCTTCGTCAACCCCATCAAAAGTCTCATTATTATTTTCCCTTTCCCCTTTTTTTTTGCGCTAAGCTTTTACAATTGAAAGCGTTATTATATCAGATTATTACACTTTATTTGTCTTTTTTTTACGCCTTTATACTCCAACAAAAGCCGATTTTCAGGCTAAAGCATAATTTAAAATTTAATGATTTGCATTAATCAACAGATCACTTCAGATAAGCATTTTTAAATGATTAAAGTCGAAAATGCTAAAGCACCAAACAGCGGAACAAATTTTTTTGACACCATCACCAACAACAACAACAAAGGAAAATGTACAAATAAATTAGCTTTGGAAATTTCCACGACAATTTTGCACTTTAAAAAAAAACTTAAAATACAAATAATACAAATTGTGTTCTGAAAATCAAAAAATTTTCTCAGTTGTCAAATTTACAACCTGAACACCCTCATACACAGTTGGTTCATAGAAACTGCTCTACTTAGGGTACAGATACATCATACTGTGTTCTTAGGTTCAAATCGGTAACACTCGATGATACTGAAGTCCTAGTTTTTCTGGACAACTTAATTTCAGGAACGTTCAATCTTGTGGAATATGCAAATAGAACCTACCAGTAAAAAAGAGCCTTTAAAGTACAAAATTTTCCATCTTCCCGTTGAACATTCAGAATTCTAGTTTCTTTCATTTTTTTTCTTCAGAAACAACACTTCCAGCTCAAATTATCACCTAGATCGATGACACAGAAGTTTGAACCACAGTTTTAAAAATTAATCTTCTTGTTACAGGAAACAAGTTTACCGAAAATATTTCAACTAAATTTTAAAAAAAAGCACATACACAACGCCTTGTTCCAATCAAACCTAAAAGCATTTTTTGGCAAAAATAAATTGTAGTTTCTCAAAAAAATTTCACCAAAAATAATGAGTACATAGGTTTCTGACTGTAATCAAAATTTCTTGCATAACTGTAAGCAAAAAACAAAGTTTTTTTTACTTTTTAAGGTGTTCTAATTACAACAATAATGTTTAACTAGAATTTTCGATGAAAATCCTCTAATGAAAATTTATTGAGCTCAGAAGGCTCATTCTATGCTTACTCGCTTACCAATGATCTCTGCTCTTCTGCTTCGAACTGTATGTCTGAAAAGTTCTCTGAATAGTTCTGATATTACCACTTTTAATATATTGCATGTTGCCTGCAGTGAAGTTTTGAAATGAAATGTACAAAATCAAAAAGAATTGAGGTTTTTTGAACAGATAACCTGCCATCTAGCTCCAGCTAAAAAAAAACATGCTTAGATAACAAGTTTTTCAGATCAAAAATTTATTTATGGAATTCTGAGAATACAAAGTATACTATAAGTGCCTTTTTTAAGAGATTAATAACACAGTTCTCTGCTAAAATCAATTTCAATCCTTGTAGTTCCCCTATATTAAAGCAATGAAAACACCTAAATCTTTCAAAATTTTTCCATCTGTTTTGAGAGTTAACTACAAATTTTTAAGCATGGTGTTGAAAACAGAAATATATGTTACTTTTTTAGAGAGCAACAAAAATTTACCATTTTTACTTCTTTTTTGGTTCCTTGTTAGTCTGTCTTCTTATACGTTATTATCATTAAAACACCTAAAAAATTTGTCCCTACTGCTTAAAAAATTAACATATATTGTGCAACCATAGTTTACTCTCAAACAAGTATCAACTTTCCGTAGCCGGAAACTTTAAAAAGCATGATTTCTATACAATGTCTCTGTGTAAACTTTAGACCGCTAGCCCATCAGAATGGCTAAAAGTACTATTAAATTGCTTATAAATGCTAAAGAAGCTGAAAAAATGACATGTAGTGTTAAACAACGCAGGTCAAATGATTTTTATTTTGTCCTTCTCTTTTATCATTCAATACCTAAGACTGTCATGCAGGCAAGGTGATTCATCCATGCCAAAAATAATTGATTTCTCAAGCTTGAGAAAGCCGTCACAAAAATTATTTATTTGAAACTGGAACTGTGCAGAAGTCATCTCCAGAAAAAGTTTTACTTTTTTATCAATCCTTCCGCAAAGAATTATGTAGATATACCACAAGTAGAGTAGAAAAAAAGTTCAGGATTTATTTACTGCAATTACACATCTTGCCAAAAACTTCAGGACTGATGAGATACGAACCGTGACAATCCATACTCCTGCCGATATTAACTTTTTCTATTTCCTGTTTTAATGCTGCAAAAATCATTCCAAATTTTTGCACGTTTAAACCGTTCAGTTTCACAACTTGATCACCTGCTAAATACAAATGCTTCATTATCAAAGCCCCGTAACCTTCATATTACGAATTCAGATATCTCAAACTAAAAATTGTATTCTGAACAGCACTATGAAAACCCCTTAGAACGTGTATATTTAACTTCTAAAAACAAAATAAAACTTGTACACTAATCCAGGTAAAACGACAATGCAGGCCGATGCAAAAAACGTAAGGTTATGCAGAACTGCAGTAGTTCTTTTACAGTTCTTCGCGTAACCTCTTCCAGTTCCTTCCAAAAAATACTCCAATCCAGTCAAACCAAGGTTCTGTCGCGTTTTTTAGAGCCGCCGTGCTTAGACAAAATAAATGGAAAAATTACATCTCCAATCGTTTTCTTACGCTGAAACCACAAGATGTTTCAAAAACCCGACGCCCAGTCCCAGTGAACATTTAAAAAAACCATCAACACTCTGCTTCTAAACCTTCTAACAGTTGACGGCCCTAATTCCTTTAACGCGTGTCGCATCAGCACTCCTTGAACAACCCTGCCCAAAACTGGCCTTCACCCTCTTGTTCCAAAAAACCCATCACTAACTATCTCTCTCCATTTCGAAATCCAAGACTGCTTTAAGCAAAACCCCGGCGAGTGATCCACTCCCGCCCTTACCCGCAACAACTCAACATGGACAAATTAAGTCGCCCCCACTTCAACCACACCAGTACTGTCAGAAAGATCTTTATATCGAATGAGCACTAGACGTGAAACCCGGAACACCAAAATATGAACTCTAGTCGAATCACCTTCCCCACCCACTCCCTTCCCGCCCAAACACTGCTCCGTCACCTTCAAAAAAACCACAAAACGTACCACGGCTAGAATGAACAAACAGGCACCGGAACAAATAAAACAGAAAGGCGGCCAGAAGCGTGCTCAATAGAATTACAACAATATTAATAATAATAATAATATTAATCAACAAGCCTTCTAGTTTCAAGCTGTTTCGAACAGTGGAGTATAAAGAACTTAAAAAACAAAGCAAACTGTATTTCAACTGATAGTTCATCTTTCCAATCCAATCTTACATTTCACAAGCAATAACAAAAAATCTTAAACATGACGAACAACATGAAATCAATAATTAGCGAAAAACATGTCTTTACAACATTTTATGACGAAAATCAAAGAAGTTACGTACTCCAAACCCGAACTTGCAGCAACTGCAAAGCAATTAAAACATAAAAAATTGCTCATCTCCGTATGATTCGTTATTTCGATAACCAAATTCGTAAGGAAGAAACCCATGTGTCATGAAAGAAGAGTAAGAATGCAAAAAAAAGCAGAGTCAAAATCTTGAAAATTTTCCCCTGCAAAAAAAACCCATATATGAAACAAACAGCCTCCTAAACCGTAAGGAAAAATAAAAGAAAGAGAAAGATAAAATTTGGTTCAGACGTTACTCACCATAGAGTTTTAAGGCATAAATAATAACTGCCAATGAAAAAAACAACAATGTAACCACTAAATTAAATTAAAATTCACAAATCAAATAACAAAAGAAAAAATCAGTAACACAGATAACCCTAAAATATATTGGTAGATTAAAGTAAAACCTCCATAACCCCTCCCTACAAAACTCTGCATGCAACAAATAAATAAATACTTATGCTAAACAATATAATGTTGGAACATTTCTACTTCTTCAAAGAACATTTGAAAATCAAGTTCATTGAAATCTGACCAACAATTAATTTAGCACTTCTTTTGAAATAATACTGTATTAACTACAGACACTTCAAAAAAAAAGGATCGACGGTAACACCAATAAAGTAAAACCATAGAAGAATCCGAAAGTAAAAAGCCAAAAAAAGGACTTTGGTACGCTTTGTCGGCATTCTCTATGGTTCTAGCGCCGCACTTCTTGACGCACATGCCTTAAGAACTCAACATAGCTGTATGAACTTTCTGTCCGGTCTTCATTTAACCGACTAGTAAATAACTCTCTCAAGTGACTATCATCCCTGAAACAAGCAAAAAAAGTCATAAAAATGCAAAAAAAAAAATTTTTTTGAGTGCCAATTCTCATATTTGTAGAAATCTTTTATTCAAATGAAAGGAGTGATAGTTGTCTTTTCAAAAGCAACTTTCACCTTATTAAAACGACTGGCGCGAACACGGATCTATAACACTGAAGAGAACGCAAGAAATTGTGCACCCGTTTACTAAGAGTGTTATCCAGAACGTCAAATGTTTTCTAAAATTAAAACAGTACCTAGAATGAAAATTAGTGAAAAAAGAAAGAAGTGAAAAAATTATCAATATAAGAAACTTGCTTCTTCATCAATTTCGACGAAATTATCTGTACCAAATAAATGGTTCAGTATAGTCGGTTGAACCTTGGAACCCACGTATATATATACATACGAACCAATATCCATTAGAAAGACTCCCTCTGAACTAACACACTCATAACTTAAACGAAGTCGTTGCGGTTTCTCCTCAACCTTAAAAGTCTCAATCAAAGAACACTGGTCTCTAAAGAAAGTTTACTGAATCTAGCAAAGCATCCAATATGGCCAGCAAAATCAACTGTTACCTCACAAAAATCATTTAAAAGATATAAGGCGGGAAGAATTTCCAACTCAATGACTTCCAAAGGAGCCGTCCTAAACAGGAGCAAATCTGCTGCACGACTATCCAATTTAGTAGAACGGCCAGATGAAAAACAACTCTGAAAACCATGAAATAAAGCCCCGAAGTTTAAAAAATGACTTAAACTCGAATATTTAAAAACTAAGAAATTAGGACCAAAAAGTTAAGACGTGTATCTCTCCAACACTGCCTTAGATCTTCTCTTTGGAGTTAACGACTATATGACTAATAACAAACATCCAGTCAAACATCCGTAAAAAGCTTGTACTTGAAACTTGAGCGACTTTCTAGAACTCTGATTTATACAAGATAAAGCAATATTTGAAGGAAAAAAGCAGAATACACGTCAAACAAAGTTCAAAAATAGGAACACTTGAGTAAAAAGTACTTTTAATAAAATAAGCACCCTACAATTTCTAATCGTGTATATTTGAAAAGAAGACGTACAAGCTACTGCTCATTTCAATAACAAGAAACTTCAACTTAGTAAAGATGCCAGCTTAATTTACTGAAAGATTTATGAGCTGTGGCTTAGGAGGAAAACTGTGCGAGAGACTTGCCGAATACAATTAGATGCTGATACTGCATAAGAAAAGCCCTGAAAAAAAGTATTCAGCACTTACATGCTTGAGCATCCCCAAAATAGCTAAAGGAAACAGTCTCATCATAGTCGTAGGCGAAAACAAGTTACTGACGCTCCCTTGCCGAGCAACCGCGTTGTTGAAAGAAGCAAATGCATCAACTACCGCATTTGCCATAGCTTCACGAGAATCCTCCAAACTTCTACCGCTCAACAAACGTTCTGATGCTGCAATATAATCAATCCTTGATCACCTGAACAAATAATGAAAATATCCATTTTAAAAAATTACCCATTTTTGATAACAGTGAGATGGAACACTTCAGATCAAAATACTTAAAAACCGTCGTAAGGTCTTTCGTCACAGGAAGGCACAAGGTGTGTATCCTAATACGTCGATCACCTGAAACACTCTATCTATAAATCGCAAAACCACTAAATAAAAAATCGTTTCAAACTTCAAATCGAATGTTGAAGCTACGATGCTCCAAAAGAATATTTAATGATGAAAGAAGAGAAATTTTTTATGGGTCCTCAATTTAATAACGTGATATCAATCTTGATGAGACTCAGGACAACCTTTGGAAGATGTGTAAAGCAGTGCGGCTTGGAAGCAAACACTGTTAAGCCCATTCAAATCCTCTTCCATCTGGACTTGAACGGCAAAGGCAGAATCAGGGTTTACATTCGCCATAGCCAGTAAATCTGTCGATCGGACAAAGAAGTTCCCATAAAAAGTATGTAAAGTCAGCCCTGAATAAAAAAATTTGTTAAACAGCTCAAGGTCCTAGCCCCGTAAACAACCATAAACCCCACAAAAACACTTACAGTAACTGCAAAATCTACCAAAAAAAAAAACAACCTCTTGTGCAACGGATACGTAGAACTGCTTCAAAACCGATCTTTCTCGTCAGATACCTACTTAGGTGCTTTTGAAACCGCTTCACTTGAAGCAAGTTACGATTCATATGATAGTTAGGATAATGGTACACACAACCGCTGCTAAATTTCGCCATATCAGCTGAAGAAACAGAACTTAAGAAAACAAAATTAATTATGGCTCAAAGGTAACCGCAAACTGAAGAAATGGACGAGAGACCAAATCATAAATGTAAGAGCAAAGCAAAGTGTTAATCATTCCTAACGTTGTGCAAAAGACCCAATGTCAAAAACAAATCGTTTATGAAAAAGACAAAAGAAAGTTTTAATATTGAAAGTATAGAAACAAATAAGGGAAAAAAGCGAATAAGATGTATGTATATAAGACCGTTCATTTCCAATTTGGTTGGAAACTTTTTTGGAGTTTATAATGGATAAATGCCAGCGGCCTTGGAACAGCGCCACTGTCTGTTACGGAGACATCCACAGACAGTCAGGGTGAACTCCGTAAAAGTATGCTAAACTTCCAAATGACTCCCGTAAAGGATGTTGGAGCTTTCGCATATTGTTTGTTAAGGTCTTATCTGTTTGTGTTTACAATTTCATGATTTAGTTTCATTTTCAGCCGAGATTTTAGCCAAAATGTGAGAGTAATTTCAATTTTTACACATACCTTTTAACAGTATTACTGCAATAACTTCGTTAAGTGTCCATGTGCTTTAGTTTTTTTTGGTTACTGTAATCTAATTTACTTTCAAAGTACTTCAGGAAAATGTAAAAAGGTTGGAAAATAAGCTGCAGGTAGTCGAGAAATGCAATTATGAAATGGCAGGCAAAAGAAATACAGTAGCTTAGTAGCTGAAAAACTTTAAAAAATACTAGTCAAAAGTAGAGAATACTGAACTAAAATTGAAAATATGTATTGCCTTAAAAATGAACCTCAGCTGCACATTAGATTAAAAAAAATACACTAACTATACTAAGCTGAGACCTATTTTCCAATCTAAATAGTAAAATACTTAAAAAATGCAAATTTAGTTTTGGAAATAATTTTAGAAGTTCAAGCAAACACTTTGTAGAACCCAAAAATAAAAAAAAAAGTTTGAGGTAGATGCGGAAAACAAAGTTATTTTTATCCCAAAAGTAACAAGAACAGCAAACCAATAAAATGAACACGAAAACATATTTTTGGCTAATAACTCAGCGAAGCAAAATTGAGCAAACAATTTATTGCTAGAAATTTGAAGAAGATAATGTCGCCAAAATCACCACGAATTTTCCATAGCTAGACTTGTAAAAACGGCCTAATATAAATCTAAGCCAACACCTGCCCAAGTTGCCATCCGGCCGTGTTACTATAATTCTAGTCCCTCCGCGACAAATATTTTAACAACAAATTGGAAATGAACAGTCCTCAATATATGTGGTCAAATTCTTTTAGATTTGGAAGTAGGAACAACCAGAATACAAAGCATACCTAAAGTAGAAAGATCTGAGTACTGTGTACTTAACAAAAACAGATCAATAGCTATCTGGTGCCCAGTACACTCTAGTGCCAACCGTTTGTAAAAATCAGTTGCTGGTATAAGACACTGGATATCCTGAAACAGATTGCTTAATTTAATAAAAGTCAAACTTTTTTAAAACAAAAGAAGAATTTCTAACCTGATGATCAAAATTAATCACTACAAAAGGCATATATAATCAATACCAATAAAGCAATAAAAAATCAAAAAACTTCACTCCCACTTACGCTGGAAGCTCTTTTATTGGGGTCTTCACGACTGATTAGCGATCCAGGGCCAATATTTGGCAAAACCGTTTGTAAAACAGTGATCCTTCCTCCGATATTTTCCTGAAAAACAACTCCAGACACATGCTTCAACCACAGCTACATGAATGATTAGAGAAACGTACAATCAACGCATGAGCTATGTTCAGTGCAGCACCAAGGCAATTATGTCCAGACCTTCCAGATTCATACAGTGACGGTAAGCTTTGTACGAAAGAACGGATAGTCTAAAAACTCATATGCATTGAACGGAATCATTCGTGCAAAACCAATGTCTTCAAACGACAAAATTATTAGGTTGGAACGAAGTTATTTGCTCCTTTCAATAGCGGTACCCCAAATTGTAAAATAAAGAGCAATCTTAAAAAGTTTAGCACTTTTTATCAACTAGAACTGTAAATAAATTTACGCAGCAGACAGCAAAAAAACTTCCGACTTCCTCTTAAAACAAAATTTTTACACCCATAAAAATCAAAGCTGAATATCTGCAGTCTATCTTACTACGCTTCACTACTACCAACTTAAAAAGTTACTGAGCAAACAGTCCTCAGTACCAGCACTGTATAAAACCTTGATGGTTTTTCAAAAACGGGCTATTCAGTTTAACTTCAAAAATTTCCTCCTATATGCAAAATACTGAAGCAAGCCTCGGAAATTTGTTTTGAAGTGGTTAAAGGAGTTCCAAAAGAAAACAAGCGAAATGACTTTAAAAAAAGTATTCACTTCGATACGAAGTCCGCTTAAATGGTGCCAAACGGTGTGGTAAAAAATTAAGAAAGTCGGCCCCGCAGGAAATGCAGAGCAGAAAATGCAACTTCTGAAGATACATAACCTCTTCAAAAAGAACAGTAAAGGACGTCTGTGTCTGTCTGTTGGTTGTATGTGAAAAAAGTACGATTTTCAATGATCGTAAGGTCTGCGAAACATTCGACCTCTCTCAGAATTGCTTACATCCTAAAAAGACTCCGCTGATTGTTTAGAGGCTTTACAGAGCAGCAAACTGTCAGAGTAACCTGCCGAGTATGCAGATGGCTGCGGCAGAATCTCATCGCCAAGCTCCCTAAGTTTTAAAGAAGGACAGACAATTTTAACTTGCAGAAATTAACAGAAAGAACCCGCAACTGCAGTAACAGGATACACGCTCTCACAGTAAAAAGAGCTTTAGAAAACTCAGTACTGTGAAAACTAAGTATTAATATAGATGTCATATTCTTAAAACCTCCCTCAAATATAAATTTTTTCATGCCTCAGTTGCTTATCTGATGATGGGGCAGTACCAAACCAGAATCCAAATAGACAATCAAATTGTTAATGTATTTGTGTTGATGTTTTTCTAGGCCTTAATGTACAAAGTAGATCGTAACTCGAATTCCAATACTTTAAGTCAGTTACTTAGGAGTGCAGCTAATTTCACCCCAACCTAATATCTCGGCTAAAAGAATATAATAAATGACAAAAATACAGAAAAAAAGAATTTGAGAATTGAAGCCAAAGATATGAGAATACCGTATAAAAAAGGCTCGCTAAATTAATATGTTAAAACCCTGAAAATAATGTACAGTACCTCAATATTCTTCTTCAGGTTAACAAGAAGACCATCATTTACTGGCAAAAATGGATCTGAAATTTATGTAATTATTTTATAACAGGGGTAGGCGGCGAAACTTATTACATATGTAAAAACGACAAAGGAATTAGTTATTTTTGTCAAAAAAAGAAAAAGAAAAAAAAAAAAGAAAAAAAAAA